TACGTACGTACGTAGGTAGGTATGTATGTATGTATGGGATTACAGAGTTTCAGAGTTCATGTGGGCTACTTTGGACATGATGGCTAGTCTTGCTCCACCACCAACGAAGAATAGAATTGCTTGAGCAACATCATAGACATGATTTCCTGGTGAGATGAGCCTAAGGCTAGACCAAGACTCCTTGTGAAGCTCAGGTGGCCTCACTGAGGGAGTCCCACAAATCAAGAGCCTGTACTGAAGGTTACCTGGGAAGTAAAGGCTTGTATTCGAATATCAGGGCCGCCACAGAGAACGTCTTTGTTGAGGATTCCACAGGCTTGGCCTTCCTCGTGTGGTTCCTTACCAGAAGTGTGCCCTGCTTGGGGCTCTAGTCAAGTACGGGTCTAGATTGGAGCCTCTAGACTTGCCAGACTTGCAGACTTGAGCACCTGTCCAGGGTGCCAAGAACATTCCCTACCGGAACCACAAGCTCACGATGCTCATGCAGGACTTTGCTTAAACTTGAAACTCTGGTACGGGACTGGAAGTGGGAGGCTGGTGGTCGGCGAGCTGTGGACCAAGAGCCAAACACATCTGTACTGATTTTGTTTCCTGCTTAGTTTCTTATCTTTCGGAGAAGGGAGCCCTTTCAGCAGGGAGCCTGTTCGATACATATGTATGGCATGCATACAAACGGTCAGAACTTCCTCCGAGGAGGCGCCCCAAACCTACCCCTGACATGCGTAAGAACCTTCAAGATCCCCTTTGCCCTGTCCACCGCTGTTGTCAGAGACAGTCAGTCAGCTGGCTGTTACACTTTGCTGCCGGGAACAAAACCCAGTCCACCTACAACGCGATCACTTACCGCAGCGCTTCAAGATCCTTCCCCACCGAGCAACTTCATCATGTATCATGATGAGAGCGAGTACAGTTGAGGCTGCAGCGTTTTACAGCTCTTCAAGACAAATGGTTCCCCCTTTATTTTGTTGAAGCGTTAGAAGTTACAGCAAGGCAGCCTATCTGTCATACAGGCTGTCTGGGCATTTTAACAAAAGCAAATGCCATTAATGTACCAGGGCTCAAAAGGGGGGCACGGGATCAAACTTGGGGACGCTGTGATCGACTCACTTGTGATGAGATGACGGAGGAGTCCTGGGATGTTTCCCTCTGCTCACAGTGACCTTAGATGACCTTGTTATTCTGAACAGGCAGCTTGCTTCAACAGCCTTACCTTATCACAAGCTCTGGAAACAAGCTATCGAAATTGACAAAGGCATCGCCTTGGGAAGGTGAGGCATGAAGTATACATCAGCAGCACGGCTTCAAAATTTCTGGATGTGACATGTTTGAGAGGCAACTGAGGTGGCTCTGGGTATCTCTAAGTATACGAAGTGCTGTATTGTCCTGCTGGAGAATAGACCCCAGGTTTGAGATGCCAATCTGGAAGCCAGGACAGCCTCGGCGGTTCCGCCAAGACTTTGATGCCCGGGCCTTGAACGTTGTATGGGTAGTTCACATATGGTGGGGGGCCTGAATGGTAATCAGAATAGCCTTTTTTGGGTATACCTCACGAACGGTTCAAGATGCCAGGGCGATGACGCTTTTATCGGATACACAAATCAAACCACAGGATAACGACTTTGCTGTGGCGTCTGATGATAAGACCGCATGATTGGAGAAGAGAGTTGTGGTTGGGAAATTCAGTAACCGCAAGTTAAACCCACTGCTTCCTCAGATGATGGCAGCGTTTCATCTGGCCACTGCCACAACTCGTTACGCATTACTTTTTCCCTTCAACATACAAAAGCCCAGTACATGTTTGGAGATCTGGCCGGACTTAAGGTAGCCATCACGGTTAGTGCTTGCAAACCCACCGTGGGTTTGACAGATGCAAGTGCCAAGTTCCTGCGACATGCTGTCTGCGAATTTCTGTTGCTCATATGGTCAGCATTCCATGAGGCTGCCGGGTGCATTTCGTACAGGCTTGCTATGGCACCGCCGAGGTTCGTGAATTGCTCTCCCGCCAGTTCCAACACTGAGGAGACTGGCTGGTGGCATGGGAGGCGTTCCAAGATCCAGGTTGCTTCTGCGGATTCCGTAATGTAAGGAGCAGTTATATGGGTATCACGACGCCACATTTCGAGGTGTTGTGCTATGGCAGCTCGTTTCCATGCTATAGCAGACTCAACAAAATGAGCAACTTTGCCCAAACTTGCAAGAGCTAAGGAACCTTTTTCTGCCAGACCTTTGTCACAACTGTTCGGCCCACGGCCCACTTCGTTAATCTTTTGCCTTGCATGTAGGCCGTCCTTCCCTTTCTGAAGTCTCTGTGAAGTCAAGATGTCCAGCTTGCGGGGCGATTCCTGGTTTAAGATAATCGCGACAACTGCCTTGAGAACTTTGGAGGAGTCGATGATGTCCCTGAAATGGGCAACCCGTGCCAAGCAGGTCACGAATGACGTCAAGAGGAGCCCACGGTGCATTTGATTAGGATTTGAGCGCGGAGGTCTCAATGGGCTTGGTTGATGGGAGCAGAGGTTGCAAAGTATGTGCTATAGGCTTTGAAGTCATTGCCCAAAGTCCGGTTGTTCCTAGCTTGGTCTCTTTGTCTTGCACGTGCTCGGCTTTCGGGTTCAGGCTTCCCCACAAGTTCTGTTAAGGAAGAGTACAAGCCTTGCCCATCAAGGCCAGCATTGCAGTGTTCAAAACAAGTGGAAGTAGTCGTATGTCATAGCAGCCCCATGTATTCGCAGTGAGCAGCGTGGATACGTGTCTTATTTTGAAAAACAACTCCCAGACCCGATGCCCAGATCTTCGCTTACCAGGACCTGAATCTCAAGAATTCTAGGCCCGCACCATCGAACAAGACGCCTAAACCCCCCTCTCAATGGGTCCTCCACTTGAATCCCGCACACCTGCCAACCCCTCAGACCATCAGCTTAAACCGTGCGAATGCTCAAGCCAGAGTGCAGAGGAATGCCGACAGCAAGGAAGTCGCGCGCTTGAAGCAGGCCCGCTAGCGTTTGTCAGTAGGTAGGAAAGTGCCCAAGTTATAGCCAGTATACGACCTATAGCCCAATCTTTTAGCAATGATTTCAGCTTGCACAAGCATTGTGCGAAAATGGTGTACTGGGATTGGGCTCCACGCCTGTGCAGTCACAATTGGAGTTGTTCATTGTAGAAAAGCACATTACCCTGCACATAATGCCCGGCTCATCGAGGAAGGTCGGCCTCCTGTGAACTTCAAGGTGCTAAGGATGCAGTGTATGTCAGTGGGCCTGTCGTTTTTTTTGGCGATGATGACCCGGATTTTTGCATGTAAGAGCCCTGTCCTCCACAGACGTTGAACAGTGCTCGTTCGGCGTTCGGGTTGAAGGTTTGCAGTCTGTCTTTACCTCTTTCCATCAAGTTTCGCTCCTTTCACAATTGGGCTACTGTGCCTAAGTATTCCGTAACGCTGAGATGTGCTTGGAACCCGAGACAGGCCGCAACCCCAAGTCTCGTGATAACCGATTACTCAGATCATGCTTACTGAGCCTTTGAAACCCTGCGTCTCTTCCGTGTGCGAAGACCGCTGGGCGTGAAACATCTCCACAGGGGAAATGCGCGAGCGTAGCACAGATCTTGCCATTTCGATTCGCAATGTGTTTCCGTGTGATTTCTAGGGGGAATGGTTGAGGCAACTTCCGATGCAATATCACCCTCTGTCATCCTCTGCAATCGCCCTAGTCCCTATAATTACCATTATACAATCAGACCAAGAGTTCCACATGCAAAAGGTCATCGCAATGATGAGCCAAGCCCAGAGTGCAGAGGACTTGGTTTCAGGATTAGGTTTTGGCATTAAATTGAGGGTGTGGTTCTTTTTGGGCTTCGGGTTCAGGGTGTGGAGGGTTGCGTCGGAGTCAGTGTGTTCAGGGTTAGGGGTTGAGGCTGAGGTGGTGCTAAGTGGGACTTCGTAGCTCTCCGGGTCCTTTTTGGGAGTGTTTGTAAAAAGGAAACATGGTCCCTGTGCTCTTCAGGCGGAATCCTCAAGTCTAGAAACAGCTGGATCAAGAGGGTTAGGACAGGAGGTGGGACGAAAGTAGGTTATGGCAAAGATCTTAGTAAGGTCTCTG